TTTTTTTTTTTTTTTTTAAAGTTTTTATTGTAAAAGAGTTACAAAAAAGGAGGGGAACCGTCCTCTGACATTACATCCCACCTTATCGGTTACAACAATAAGTCACTTACAGTGCTAATACTACTTTACTTTTAGATTTCTACTTAATATCTAGGATATTTATTTTATTCTACTTCATAAATGTGTGTAGGTTAAAAAACCACCATAAAAAATGGTGGAGAAAAATTCCCCTATCTAAATACTACTGAGTTTACTTAAAATCAATTAAGTATGCTACGAGACTCTTGTTGAGAGACAGAACTTTACTAAATGTAAATAAAAATTTACTGACAAGGTCTACTTAATCATTTTTAAATGTGATACTTATCCTACTTGCTATTAATACTTTAAAAGCTTCTACAAAATCACAAGAGGTTTTGTGACTTACTGGTTAGGTTATAAGTCCTAAAATAAAGTGCTACTATTAGTTGTGAGTGATTCCGAATTTATTGTTTATTAATTTCTTAATTCATATATTTCTTCTTTGAGAGATGTGATTTTATTATTTAGATAGGCAAATTCTTCTACATAAAATGCGGTTAATTTTTTTATTTGTTCTTTTAAGGTTTGAATCTCTTTATTATTATTATTATTTATTTCTATGAGTTCTTTATTTTGGTTTAGGGTATTGTCATTACTAGGTTCTTTATTTTTATTGTTGTTGGGTTCAGTTTGTTTTTTGAATTTTTCTAGTTTAGCTTTTCTTAATTTTTTATAATATTTACAACCTTTCCATGTTGAAAAGTGAGGTTCTTTGCAATGTAGACAGGTCGGTGTTATTTTTGAGTTCTTTTCTTTGGCTATTAAGGATTTGGGACAGTCAGTACTAAAATGAGGTCCTGTACAAATTATGCAAGTTATACCTACGAAGCAGTATCTTTTAGTGTGTCCGTAATTTAGGCAAGATTTACAAATCGGAATATCTACATATTTTGGGTCTATTTTTCCTATTTGGATATCAAAATTTTCAAGTTTTTTGACATTTTCAAGAGTTTCAATTATTTTTCCTTGTAGTTTAAAGTTTATTTCAAATAAGGGTAGAGGGGTTTTAGTGGTTGAGTGATAGATTTGTCTGATATTTTTAATTTTTAGGTCGCTGATAAGTTCTTCAAGTTTATATTTAATATTTTCTATTCCAAAGTCTACTGGTAACCCTCTAATTAAACGTTTGGTAGTTTTGCCGTTAAAAGGTTGAAAGGTGTAAAATTTTATTTCAAGTTCATGAAGTTTTTTAATTGTTTCTTTATAAACATCTTCTGATTTAATTAGCATTTTTATCTGTTTATTAGGGGCTTGTTTAAAGACAGTTTCTTTAATACCGTGTTCGGTTAAGGTTTTTTTTAAAGTTTCAACATCCTCATTAATTGTGTAGATAGGTGGGGGTTTCATAGAATTATTTTTATTTGAATTTTGTTTTTTGTTTCCTTGTTCTGGATTATTTTGAGTTATTATTTCTGGTTGTTTTATATTTGTTACAGGATTTTTATTTATTTGGTTATAATTTATATTCTCTTTATTCTTTTCTTCTGTTTTTTTCTTTTTCTCTTCAGTTAGTTCAGTTTTCGTTGGTTCTTCAGATGTTAAGACATTGAAATCCCTTTTGGTCGGGTTAATATTTTTCGTAGTGTCTGTAGGTATTGTATTTCCTTTGACCTGTTTTGTATTGTCTATTTTTTTGTTAGTTTTTTCCTTCATGTTAGCTTCAAGTTTTGGCGTATTTTTCTTTTGATTGCTGGTCGAGGGGTCACGTTTTGGCGTATTTTTCTTTTGATTGCTGGTCGAGGGGTATAAATTGTAATAATCTTTAAGAGAGATGTAGTCCTTATCGGTTATGAGGTCAGCTTGTGTGTCTTCTTTTTCTTTTTTAAGAATATAAAATAGGTTTTTACAGTGGTTACATTCTGGGATTGTGATCCTATGTAAACATTTACTTTTAAAGATTTCATTTAGGTCTTTAATCTTTGTTGGGAGACAATTTTTACATTCATGTATTAATATATTGTGTTGGCATTTAAAATTATGGCTGAATTTAAATTTGATATCTATACCTTTTTGGGATTTACTTTTATTTATTAGATACAAGTGGAGGCGATCCATAGGGAGTTCTTCAGCATAATCATAGTAGATTACTTTGAACAGGGAGAGATTTTTTTCTCGGATCTTTATCAGAAATTCTAAATCTTTACTGTAAATAATCAAGAGAGGTAAGTTTTCGTCATCTACAAGAAGTCTATAGCATTTTTCACATGTGAAAGCATAATTCCTATGGTTACAAATAATTTCATGAATGCTCTTTTCGTATTTAATTTTACAGGTAGTGCAATCATTGAAGCTTATTTCGTGTGTACATTTCAGATCCTGTTTAACGCGGATAGTCGTTGATGAATCCTTGTCTGTATTCGGTGTTGATTCCATAGTCGATCAGTGCGTCTCTCGATTATTGACAGTATGGGTGTTGGTAGAGGTAAGAAGGGGCGAGTGTAAACATACTGGTAACTGCCATTTGTAGGTTAAGAATTCTCACTATCAGTAATGAAATCCGGGTGACACACAGTCCAATCAAAGATGTTATCAGTCAAGAACTGTTGCCACTTTTCGCTGGTAAGTTTGTGATCTAGTTGATAAGAAGACAGCTCAATCAAAAAAGTTACATAACATCCGACAATTAAGTATCACAAAACAGGAAATATCTCACGATACCTTTAGCAGTTTGCGGATTCAATGTCAATGTCGCATTCATGAGAGGTAAAGCTCTTGTTAGGTATGAAACTTAACTTTAGAAATGACTTTAAACCACTCAAAACTAATAAAGCTCGGAGGAGCGTGACAGCGTTGAACTTCACTCGACGAGAGCACAGAACGAAGTCCATTATTTGAGGTTGAGCACATAATTCTGATCTCTTGCTCGCTTTTAGACTGTTCGGCAAAACGGATCTATATCAGGGTTTTCTAATTGCTCATTTTCGAATTCTATGAACTTTCCTGATTTATCCGTGACTTATTTTGCGTTTCTCCGACTGTAAATTAAAGGGAAATTTTGCCAAGTCGAACTGAGAGAAATTCCGACTTAGGCGGATTTTCGTTTTAATCGCTTCACCAGTTAGCCCAAAATAAGCTAGAAATTCGAGTTGAGCGATGTCAAGAAGCCGATGAGTGATTTTTTAAGTAACTTTTCCGAATTTGTCAATTATCAATTTAAAATTTTAAATTTTTAGAGTGAGTATTCAAATTTCATCTCTTTACTTTCAACGAATCATCGAGAGAAAAACAAAAGCCACAGATTTTAAGGCTCTTACGTCTAAGTTTCTTTGAAGAATCCAAGATTATATACATCATAAACCTTTTTGTGAAACGTTTCTTTCTATTCAAACCGCTCTTCTCTCTTGATGGTATCACTTACACTTGTTTACAATGGCTACACAGGTAGACTTTTTTGTACATCTGCAACCGTACTATGACGAAAGAGAGGGAATTAGCTAGATTTTATGTACATAATATTTTTATCATTTTAAATGACACTGATCCATACAGAAAGTACAAACATTCCAAAACCATGAGTTGAAAAACACTGACTCTATGGGTTTGAATTTTAGAGCCAAACACATTGTGGCCAGCATTAGCGCCTACAAGACTGCGAGGATACTTCACGCATTGCGCGTACACGACAAGGATACTTCACGCATTGCGCGTACACCACGGTGCTCGCGCGCAATGCGTGAAGTATCCCTGCCGTCCTGGAGGCGCCAATACGCGTTCCACGCAGGCGTTTGTCGCGTCGGACCGAAATTGAAGACAAATTGAGACGAAAATGAAGCAGACACAAAATTTCATTGGTGGCTTGGAGATTAACTGCCTGCATAATCGCGATCTTATAGGCAAATACTACTCTAAGAATCAACGAGCAGGGGGATTACTTTCCAGACTTCATTAAAAAAACACGCGTGATACGAAGGAAAAAATTCCGGACCTTGCGGAATCTCCGCACTTTTTCGGTTTTTCCGGACCGCCTTTAAAAAGTCAATTCTATTCCCAGACTTTCCAGAAATTCCGGACGAGTAGACATCCTGCTTCGGTAACACGGCATCGAAGTTCTGGAGCTTTCTGCATCCCTTCAATAAACTGAAATCCGAGTCTGGGAGCTGTTCTGCTTTTTGAACTTGGCGTGACTCGGTCCCGAGACGCTTTCCCGGGGGGTCGGCGTCATACGTGGTACGAAGGAAAAAATTCCGGACCTTCTTACAGAATTTCCACGCTTTTTCAGCACTGCCGGACTGCCCTTAAAAAATCAGCACTATTTCCGGATTTTTCGGAAGTTCCGGACAGGTAGACACTCTAGTTTAGGAACCGAGGAAATGGAGATGTTGCATGTGTGAGGGATTTGCGATTTGACCATTGATTTTTATATAAAAGTTTGCGAGAAACACGATGGTGCCACTGGTTTTCTCTGAAATCATCTCTCAAGCTAAAAAAAGCTCTCAAGTTGAGGCCAAACTGGAGGGGATATCCCACGCTATCCTGAGAGTCCACCTCTACATCAAGACAAACTCTCCATGCAATGATAGGGAGCAAATACATTAACAGGGCTGCCGTGTTTTCAATTTTTGAGTCCCCAAATAAAGTGGCAGCCCTGTCAATGTATTTGCTCCCTATCTTTGCATGGAGAGTTTGTCTTGATGTAGACGTGGACTCTCAGGATAGCGTGGGATATCCCCTCCATTTTGGGCTCACTTTACGTAAGAGCTTTTTTGAGCTTGGGAGATGATTTCAGAGAAAACCAGTGGCACCTTCGTGTTTTTCGCGAACTTCTACATGAGAATCAATGGTCAAATCGCAAATCCCTCACACATGCAACACCTGCATTTTCGACTTGAGCGGAATTTCGCCTTAAAACCCCAGGTCGAGTTACTGAGTTCTGGAAATGATGATAGTATAGTGATGTAGGAATGGAGTGAATGACTTACGTCTCTGAACTGGACAACTCCGGCCTCTCCGAGAGTGGCGACGGAGGTGTATGAGGCTTCCGGCTGGATAAACAGTTGACACAGGGCCATTTCCTCGCTTCGGAAGAGTGTCCCCATCTTGGCCGAAGGGCAGAGGCACTCCTCCCTGATGAGACCAACAAAAAACAAAACACATAAGTTAGAAAGCCTTCTCGGAAGGTAAGAGATATTGCTGACAAATAAATCCAGATATCGCGCTGATAAAGAATACAAGAACCTGTCAAAATAAGGCCTCACTGGAAAAAAGTCGCTTGAATTTAAAAGTCCAGATTCTTAAAACCTTGACAAGAAAGAATACTATTGATTCAATCGGACTTTGTGCTTGAATCAACAGGAAATCCGCCTAAATCAAGAGGCTCGGCTCTTCGATTCAAGGAAAAATCGGATTGAATCAAGAGTATTTTTTCTTGTCGATGTCATTAAGAGTCTGGACTCTAGATACAAGCGACTTTCTTTTTCCAGTGCAATTTTTGGGGAGGGATTCAGGTATTTGGGGCAAACTAGGAGGCTGCGCGATAAAACACCAGAAAAACTTGTAGGCAAAGTGTGATGTAGTTGGGCCGATTCCGGTTAGGGGCCATTCAAGTATTACATAACGAAATGGGGGGGGGGGTTTGAGCCAGCGTTACAGTGCGTTACAAGGGGGGAGGGGGGTTAAACCTAGCGTTACAAATCGAAGCCGAGGTGAGGGTACAAAACTTTGAAAAAAAGGTGCAAAAACATTAAGAATCCCGCTCTTCCCGAGTGATATCTTTTGAAAATTAGGGGAAAGTCGGGCCAGCGTTACGTGATTCCAAAGGGCGGTGTAAGGCTGCGTTACAAAGGGGGAGGGGGTATAAAAAAATCGGGACAAGCGCGTTACATTGTACTTGAATGGCCCATTAAATCCGTTCACGCATGTAGGTATTCTTTTATCTACAACTACCATTACAATATTTACGGTATCCATTAGTATAGTTTTAGTTCAATGATAGAGGGTTAACTGCGTGTATAACAGCGTGTGCAAACTGATAAATTAATCTTATTATTAAATTGCCACATGGTATAAGGGACACCTGGCCCTGGTGCACACACACTCGCAAAAAAGAGAAATCTTTGGTTGTATAGATCCCCCTGCAAGGACTCCAGACGATTTTTTGGTAGCAAAACAAGTATGAGTTCAAAACAGCGTATGGGTGAATACAGCACCAGTCGAGAGAGTTACTTAAATAAAGAAACAATAACCTAAAGAACAAATGGGTAAACGAGGAGAGATTCGTTCGGGGCTTTGAGATGAAAGGCGCGTCAAGTACGCACCCAGAGGTGGGATTCTACTCCTAAGCAATAACGCCACATCAACAATCGAATACTGCCAAATTTCATCCGATAGAGCATTTTTTTCTTGCGATTTCAATGCTTAAGTGTCACAATTTTAAATTAGCATTGATGTGATATATATATATGAGTCGCTTTTATAGCGCTCTTTGGCGCTGTGCGACGCCTAATCGCCACAAAGCTCGGTCTTCCCACAGGTCATCAGGGAGTTGACAATCTCTTATCTCATTTAACACCCCCTGTCGCCAACCTCGCACTGGGCGTCCCCTACGTCTCCTCCCAGGAGGAACCCAATCAAGCATCTTTTTTGGCAGCCTCTCTTCCGTCATCCTATTGACATGACCATACCAAACAAGTTGTTTGGTCATGACGTCGAACACGATGTCATTTTCGACTTCCATTATCTGACGCACTCTATCATTACGGACCCGATCTCTCCTAGAAATTCCTGCTGACCTTCTCCAGAAATCCATCTCCGTTGCTCTTAGCATATCCTGTGTCCGTTTCTTCAGCTGCCAAACTTCACATCCGTATGTTAATATACTTTTGACTACAGCGTTGTATATCCTCCTCTTGTTATCTTTGGAAATCCGCTGATCCCAGAGGATTCCATTTAACATCGCTATAGCCTTCCTTGCTAAGGTGTTCCTTTCCCTGATAGCTTGATCCGTCCTTCCATCCTGGGTCAACCGCACTCCCAAGTACTTAAAGTGCTCGCAGCCTTTGATCTGCTGCCCATCCTCCAACTCAATGCTTTGCTGATCACCGCCAAAAGTCATCTTCTCAGATTTGGATATGCTGACTTCCAGACCCCACTTCCGATACTCTTCTACTAGCTTGCGCATCATGTATTCCGCGTCATCTTGATCTTGAGCAACCACCACCTGGTCATCAGCAAAGCACAGAGTAAACAGAGTTTCGAGATCACCCAAGGGAACACCCATACCAGAGCATTTCTTTTTCCATTCTTTTAGCACGCACTCGAGATAAATTTTAAATAATGTTGGCGACAAACAACATCCCTGTTTTAAACCCTTAGTCACATAAAATCCCGCTGACAACCCCCCATGGCACTTAACTTTGGTAAAACTCCCTTTATAAAATCGCTTAACAGCGTCAATCAACCCCCCGTTAAAATTCGATTTTTCCAAGGCCTCCCAAAGTTTCACCAACGGCACGCTGTCATACGCCTTCTGGAGATCCACAAAAATTAAATGCAGTTCCTGAGCTACGGCCATTTTCTTCTCAATGACCTGGACAATAACAAAGAGGTGATCTATCGTAGACCTGCCAGCTCTAAAACCAGCCTGCTCCTCTGCTTCGTGATCCTGCCATTCGTCCTCGATCTTCGCTTTCAGTATCTTCCCGTACACTTTGCTTATTGTCCCGGTCACTGAGAGCCCCCGGTAGTTGTTACAGTCGTCCTTCCTTCCCTTCTTTTTGTAGATGGCCTTGATCCAAGACTCCTTCCACTCCCTTGGTACCTCGTCACCCCTGATGCATTGTTGCATCAGTTTTCTGAGGCACTCAAAGAGCTTGGCAGTCCCGTACTTGACCAACTCGACAGGAATCCCACCAGGACCCGGTGCTTTGTCATTTTGCAGCTCTTTGACCGCTTTAATTATGTCACAAGTGTGGATCTCCAAGTTGTTCATTCTTCCGTTGTCCGTGCTGTTGTCTCGAAACTCTGGGCGCCTTTCCGTCAAAAGATCTTTAAAATGATCCTCCAGTTTTTTAAGTGATATCGGAGAAACGATGTCGCGCTTCATGTCTCTACGCAAACCTTTAATTAACTTCCAGCTCTCAGCACTTTTTCTCCCCCCTAGGTAGGTGTTAATTCTAGAACAGTTGCTTTCCCAAGCTTCATTCTTCTTCCGTGTTATTAAAACATTGATGTGATTAAAACATTAGATTTAAACATTTTTCCACCGAAAAAATTTATTTCAGAACTTTTGAACTTTCGTTGACCCATACTTTGAACACTTAAGAAAATTAGAAGTCATTTTGCGTAACGAGAAAATCAGTTCTTTTGTCTCTCGTATATTTCATTCTGTGGACATACGCCCATCAAACTGAAAGGTGGACTTTCAGGGGCTGGGTATGCAACCTGCAACAATTAGAATTCTCATGAAATTTTCCCACCAAAATTTCAAAATTCAGATTTTACTGTTTCTATGCGTTTCACGGCACACCGAGTCCAAGGTAGGATTCAAAAATTTATAAAATGGAGATGTTGCATGTGTGAGGGATTTGCGATTTGACTGTTGTTTCTCATGTAAAAGTTCGCGAGAAACACGATGGTGCCACTGGTTTTCTCTGAAATCATCTCTCAAGCTCAAAAAAAGCTCTCAAAGTGAGGCCAAAATGGAGGGGATATCCCGCCCTACCCTGAGAGTCCACCACTACATCAAAACAAACTCTCCATGCAAAGATAGGGAGCAAATACATTGACAGGGCTGCCACTTTATTTGGGGACTCTAAAACTGAAAATACGGCATCACTGCTAATGTATTTGCTCCCTATCTTTGCATGGAGAGTTTGTCTTGATGTAGAGGTGGACTCTCAGGATAGCGTGGGATATCCCCTCCATTTTGGCCTCAACTTGAGAGCTTTTTTTGAGCTTGGGAGTTGATTTCAGAGAAAACCAGTGGCACCATCGTGTTTTTCGCGAACTTATACATGAGAAACAACAGTCAAATCGCAAATCCCTCACACATGCAACATCTCCATTATAAAATTTCACGAAATTTAATCTGAGAAAGTCTCACGAAATTTTGAATCTGCCCCAGTCCCTCTCGAGCCCTCTCTGGATCTGACACCGCTTACACTCCCCTAGCAGAAACCGATCCAATATAATCAAAAGAAACTTGACAACGCCCGAGTACCGATACGTCGTTTTTCCCGCACGGGCTAGGACTTGAATCTCGTTATTTTCGTTTGCGTATGCAAGCGCGGAGCCCGGTGCGTTGGTCGTTTGCGACACGCATACGAGCTGCGAGGCAATATCGTCGCTCCCCTGACGTAAGAACGTATCTCGATTTTCACGTGGACCCTGTTTCACATATAAATCCATGCTTTCGGGGGCTCATGGAGGAAATAGAGATACGCCTTTACACCGGAGGAGCGACGTTATTCCGACCGGCGCACCGTGGATCGAGTCAATTGAAGAGGTCGGACATGAAATTTTTTTACCTACTAAAGCTGCAAATTTTTGATTCACATTTAAAATTTCGAGGATTGCTGATAGAAGGAAATTTCACTAGGAAACCAATGGAACCACTTTTAGAGCATCAAAGTTTTGTATAAACGGAGATATAAGCTTTGAAAGTTTCCAAATTTTGTCCGACTTCTCCTATTCAGGGTGTCTACTAACCTGGCCAAAAATCAGTGCTTTTACAATACTTTTTCAGTACATTCGCAAGAAATTCAGTATCTCCTTGACAAAAAAATTCATTACCTTCTCAGTCCCTCCAATGGACGAAATTCGAAAAATTTCAATTTCTCGCTCAAATCGCGACAGAAATGATAAAATTCCGGACCTTCTTGCGCAATTTCAGCACTTTTTCAGTACTTCCGGACCGACCTTAAAAGCAGTACTATTTCCGGACTTGGAGACACCCTGCAATAGACAAAGTCGGACAAAATCTGGAATCTTTGAAAGCATATAATCCCACAAATGGACGTATTAATGCTAAAAGGAACTATGCGCAAGGGGAAAGATGGGGTGTGCTCGTGGATGCTGGATATGAAACAATGTATAAGTGGATATAGTTCCTTTTGAAAAAATGGAAA